CATCAGTCCAGATCAAGTCCATCAGTCCAGATCAAGTCCATCAGTCCAATATGAGCCCATGTGTCCAGGACCGGTCTTCAAATTCCTCTTCAGACTCACACAACATGCAATGCTGTCGAGTGCAGGAAAATCACAGGCCAGTGGGTGGAAAGTCTTGTGGATCCAGTGGCGGTGGAAGCATCTTAGGGTTGACATGGGTCTCCATGTGGCTCCTCCAGCTCCAAGGCTCTGGCTGCCCTCAGCATAGCTCATGTGGCTGGTCAACAGGAATGTCTCACACTGAGTGAGTGTGTGTCCTGCCTCCAGTGAGCTGTTTGTCTCCTTCACATCTCCCAATGAGGTCATCAAGCTGCGACCTGGTTGACAGGCTAAACTCTACTCCATCACTCTTAATAGCCTCAAGTTGACCAACAGGTTATGGAACTACCACAGGGTCATTATCAAAATCCAGTAAAGGGCTGGCTCACCAGGTCCCAGCAAGGGCAGGGACCAGGGAGGACCAGTGTCAAGGGATCAGGATGCATATGGCCTCATTCAATGACTCCCCTTGAGGCGTTCCTCAGCCCTTGTTTCAACCAAGTTATAGTTTAAATTCTGGGAGAAAGAGCCTAACTTGACTATGTGTGCCTGTCCTGTGATGACAGGTCCACATGTTACTACAAGTACTGTAGGAAGACGAGTTCCCTAAAGAAGAAATGGAGGTGGCATGGCCAATATGCCTGGTAGCATCGTGGTTACACGTTGAGCTATGATCCGCAAGGTCAGCAGTTCGAAACCTCCAGAAAAGAAAGACAAGGCTTTCTACTCCCATTAAGGGTTACAGTCTTAGAAACACCCAGGGGCCGTTCCACCCTGTCCTACAGGGTCACTGTGAGTCAGGATCAACTTGACGTCAGTGAGTGAGAGGGTCAACAAGTGAGCGTCCAGCACAAGGTACAAGTGAAGTTGGGCAGGCAGAAAAGGCAGGTAGGGAGCCTACTTCCGAAATCTCTAGTATTTAACCGTGAGCCACACAAGGAGGCTGCGGCAACAGGTGTTTTGTTCACATTGGATCTTCTAGCTGTCCACCCACTTCTGTCATTCCTTGTCATTCCAAGACTGGGGCTATAGGGTAACCATGGGTCAAGGGAATTTTCCCCTCTCTCTAACCTGGACCAGTATGGTGCAGGCATCGATGTGGTTCTGCGCAAGGCAGCCGCCTGGGAAGCGGGCGAGGTCTGCAGAGAGAGAGAGAGAGAGCGCGCGCGCGCGAGGTCCTCAGATTTGACTTGAGTTGTGTGTGGCCTGCCCTGGCTGCCCCACTCTGTTGGCTGTCTCATGTCCAAAATGGCTCTGCCATTCCGTTCCATCTCCTGGTCCTCTTCTCCCACGTCTGGCCAAACTGCCGGCTGGTGGGGAGGATGGTTGTAATATTCCTCTTCTGCTTTTCACAGTTTTTCCTTGCCTGAAAAATTGGAATACGTCGTCACCAAGTATGCTGAGCATTCCCATGATAAATGGGCCTGTGACAAGGTAGGGATTATCACCCACCTGACAATTGTCTGAGGTGGAGGGAAGGGGGAGGGGACAGCCAGAGAACATTATCGGGTCGGTTCCTGGAAATCTGCCTGGTTTGTCAAAGTGACAGACGCGCCGTTCCAAAAGCATTCATCCTTTCTCTAGCAGCAATTTCCCTGGGGTTGGTGGAGGTCGGCGAACCGGGAGGCAGCAGCTGCGGGTGCAGCTCTGCTTCTCCCAGGAGAAAAGGATTCCGAGGTTCGCTTCTTTGGTTACATCGTATCTTCTGCAACTTGGGCCCAAGCGTGTGCTTTCTCGTGTTGGGCATAAATGCCTTACTGGCTGGGCTTTCTCGAAGGTACTGCCGGCTGTTTTGCAAAGAGGAGCGCATAAGGCAAAGCCTTACACTCGTGTTTTGCTAGGAAGCTGAATTTCAGTTGCGGGAGGACACGCAGCCATCGGATGCCCAGACACTCCCTTATTAATAAGCCTGTCCATCTGGTGTTTAAAATTCCTCACCACATGAGGTCAGGCTGCTTAATAAGTTTAATTGCTCTGTCAGGCCTTTAATGCTGGCAGGCAGACAGGGAGGCCTGTGCCAAAGACATCCCGGAGAACTGTGGGCGGCCGGTACAGAATGGGGGCTCGGGCTCAGCTGCCGTTTCTAGCTGGTAGCAGCGGACTGCTCTCCATCACGAGGCCTCGGAAGACCCTCAGCTAAAGAACACCGTCAACCCCCTAGTAGAAAAGAATCCTGGTGGCGCAGTGGGGTGAACATCACACTGCTAACCCAAAGGTTGACGGTTCAAACCCATCTGCCGATCCATGCAATAAAGCTGAGGCTATCTCCATAAAGACTTACAGACTCAGAAACCCCCCGAGAGCAGTTGTGGCCTGCCCTGTAGGGTCGCTACCTGTCAGAACTAATTACAAGGCAGCGGGTGATGGTGGTGGGGACCTCCTGGCTAGACATCCACGTGGATCTGCATTGCAGTGCGATGCTCACAGGGATCATTGTACTGTGGAGTAGGCGCCTGTCTCCTGATTCTGGAGCAGAGGTTCTATCTGGTTTGGTTTGATTTGGTTTGTATTCTGCAAAGACCCAGAGAATAAGCATTTTAGGTTTGGGGAGCGGTAAGACCTCTGTTAGCACAACTCACCTCTGCTGCTAGACCATGAGAGCAGCCGTACACTGTACATAGATACATGAGTCTATCTTACTCCAGTCAAATTTACAAAAATGGGTCGCCAGCTGGATTTGGTCCATGACCATGCTTTCTAAGGACTTTTTTTTTTAAAAAAAAAAACATGACTATTTGCTCAACCTGTTGCCTAGTGGTTGTGTGTTAGGCTGCAAACCACAAGATCAGCAGTTCAAAACCACCAGGCCCTCCGTAGGAGAAAGAGAAGGCTTCCTACTTCCATAAAGAGATGCCATCTCAGAGACCCACAGGAGAAGCTCCACCGTGTCCCGCAGGGTCATACGAGTTTGATCAGTGCTTGGAGTAAAGTGAGCCCCCCTAAATACATTCTACTCTCCGCACTATCCCCTAAATACATTCTACTCTCTGCACTATCAGTAACCCAGGTGGATTTTACCACCTGTGTCTCTTACATTAGTACAGTTCTTCCCTCCCCTCCCCTCCCCCCAGCCCTTGGCACGGCTGTAGTGCAATCTACCATCTACACCGCCACCATCATTTCCCTAGATTATGGTGATAATCTCCTACCTGGTCTCTCATATTCATTTTGTTGTTGATTCCCCCACCCCACCCCCCACCCCAATCTGTTCACACAGCCCTTGAGTGATCGTTTTGAAGATTGGGTCATCTCTTACCCAATCATCTCCAGCCCTCTCGGGCCCATCTCCTTTGACCGCAATCCCTCGCTGGCTTCTAACTCTTCTTAATACAGCAGCCTTAACAGCCCTACCATAGCCTGCTAGCTCTCTGTTCCTGTGACCTCTGCTACCATCTCTCCATCTGCCAGCCACATTCCCTTCTGGTGGGGCCTCTTTCCTGTGCTGCAAGTGCCCGAACAGCCCGTAGTCAGAGCCAGGTTTGTACCCATGTGCACCCATGCTCACCCCATTCATCTACTCATCCTTCCGATAGCAATCCAACTAATGGTTTTCCTAGAATCAAGTCCTACCGTGCCGCTTGCCCACGTTTTCCACATAGAGACCACTGAGGATTCTTTCTGTCATGTTTCTGCTGTAGTTTCTACCTGCAGACCAGTCTTCCATTGAGCATGTCTTGGTGGTGGTATTTGGTGAGGATCTCCCTCGCCCTCTAGACTGTAAGCTCTAGGAAACAAGGATCCGTGTTAGCTCACTCTTGCTGGGCTGACAGTGATGACATAACCAGAAAGAGTATTTTTTCTGCCCGCAAGCACCACATAGTCTTGTAGAAGTAGAATAAGCCCACTGTTATGGTACAGGCTGGTAAGTGCTCTGGTGGACAGGCACAGGATCGGTGCCTGTAAGAGGAGCCCCTAATCAGCACCGGGGCTCCAAGAAGGCTTTCTAGAGCAGGTGGCCTTATGGTCTATGCTCAAGGATCAAAAACTCTCTGCCATCAGGGTGATGCCAACTCACAGCAGTCCTGTAGGATGGGGTAGACGTTCCCGCTGTGAGGATCCGAGACTCACTCGTTACAGGAGTGGAAAGCCTGCCTGCCTTCCGCAGAGCAGCTGGCGGTTCCCAGTGGCTGGCCTTGCAGTCAGCAACCCAACGAGTCTTCACTATGCTGTCAGGGGCCTTCGTGCTAAAGGACAGGCGGGAGTTACTGGGGAATTCCAGACCCACAGGAGCAGCCAATGCAAGCCCAGAGGAATGAGAGCGTGTGGCCGAGTTGGGCAGCCAAAGTTCATGATAGCCGCGTTACAGAATCGGGGAGGGCAGAAGAGCAAGATGTGTCCGGGGAGGTAAGCATGAGCTCATCTGTAGCTTCAGAGGCTGGCCGGTGAAGGAATTTGTAGTTCACCGTGGACAATGACTAGGAATCTGGAATGTTTTAAAGCAGTCGAACCTCCAGATCAGGGTGATTTTGTAAATAGCATCTAACAGAGCAGATAAAACATGGGGTCCCTATCTCCACCTGGCCTCCCTGCAGGCAGGCTGATCAACTAGGATGCTGTTACAGTAATCTAGGTGAGACCTGGTGGCGGCTGAGCTAGAAGACTGTGAGGGAAGCAAGGGAGAGTCGAGAAAATGAGTAGAGCTGGGAGGTTAGATGACCACCGAGGAGTGGTGTCGAGGAAGACTCCCCTGTTTGTGGCTCAGAAAGTAACTGTGCACTAGGGCCACTCACTGCGACACAGGGACTGTGAGAGGAGAAGACATTTCCAAGCAGAAAGGGCTGTGTTCCACTTTGTAGATGTTGAAAGATATTATCCTAACAGAGCTGAAGAAGATTGGGAAATTAGAGAGATCTGGGCTAAGAACACTGAGAGCCATCCACTTGCCAATAGTATCTGAAACCATAGATTAGATTAGCCAGGGAGCCTAAGAGTGTTAGGCAGGGTTCTCTAGAGAAACAAAACCAGGACACTTATGATTTTTATAGATAGATATAGATATATACAGCATGAAGGAAATAGCAGCTAATTAGTCCACACAGCAATACAGAGGGCTCAGTTCAACTCTCTTCTGTAGAACAGTTAATATACTGAAAGTCCTTCAACTCACCAGGGCTGCTGGGTCCAAAGTCAAGGAAGCAGACAGCTGAGTCTTCCTCAGGGCAATGCAGGCAGTCTGGCCACAGGCAGCAAACAGCAGGGCGGGTCACCAACAGTCAGCAAGACAAAAGAATCTAACAGTCCCAAGCTCAAGCAGTGTATACACTAGCAGCATGGTGAAGCAGGTCTCAAAGGAACCTCAAACTCTAGCGATACAATCCATGGGTTGGCAGTCCCTCAGGTAGTGTAGCTCATGAGTTAAGGCAGAGAGCTAGCAGCTGCACGCTGGTCCCTTCACCACAGAGCAAGAGTGAGAGAGGCGGGGCTTGCCGAGCCATTTATCTCTTTGCCCTCCAATCAAACTGGGACCTTATTAATCCCACATGTTCTTATTGGCCAGGCTGGCAAAATAAACCTACCTTATCACACCAAGAAAACGTGCCTCTTGAGAAGAGACAAGAACGTTAGAAGCACATCCATCTGACGAGACAGAGGCAGAGATTGAGAAGGAGCTGCCCCAGTCTTTGAGCTGTGAAGTTCTTGGAACAGGAGCTCTTCTCCATTCTGTACCCACAGTGCCTGGACAGAGTCTATTCCCATACTGGCATAGGCATGCCATCGATGTGGAAGAACATCTGACCTTCTGGGACTTCCATGACTTTAGGAAGCATAGGTTGTTCTGCTCAGAGTAAGTGGGCAAGGGTCTAAAGCATCATTTCCCAAAGTGCTGATATCCCCCTCTGGCAGGAAGGCGTATCTATAATCATACGCATATAATTCTGAAAAGTGGGTGTCAAAGTAGGGCCAAGTCATTTTGGGAACTCACCATCTAAACCAAACCAGCCTCGTCCAGACAGTAGGCATGGGGGCCAGTCCCTACTTAGCATTCAGCCTGGGCTCCTGCTCTGGTTTGTGAACAGGACCCACTAACGTGAGCAGTATTGTGCTCTGGGTATTCGCCAACCATTTGTGAAGCCTCTCGCATAAGTTGGCCTGAAACACAAGCGAGTAAGTGGAAAGGACGGCACTTGAAGCAAGAGGGAGTGAAGGAGCAGAGTTCAAGACTCGGGCAGGAGTGGGCCTGACAGCTTCAAAAGAACCATTAGAGGTCTTCAAGGGGGATTTCCGAGCACTGTCACTGTTGATTATTTCATGTCTCCCCCGTAAATAAGAGCCAGGGATTGAGGGCATGGGGTGGGGCTCTTTGGGTGCAAAGAGATATTCAGTCTGCAAATGTGTCCACAGAGTCAGAGTGGATGGAAATACGGAATTTCCTTGGATGAAAATGTGAAGACTCACCCACTGATAAGACCTTTCAAGACATTAACAGAGAAGGTAAGGGCGGGGTCTCTGGCTGCACTCGTGTGACCCCGGTGGCTTTCCTTCCCTGGGAAGGTGTATTAGTCTAGGTACTTTGGAGAAACAAATCCACAGCAACTCACGTATAAGAGAGAGTTTTATGCAAAGAAAATGTGCATCACGAAAACATCCCAACCCAATGCTGCCCAAGCCCACAAGTCCAACATTAACCCATTAACCCAACACCAGTCCACAAAGTCCTCCACCTCACAAAACAGAGGCAATGATGCCGACTGCAGGAGGAAAGCTGAGTCCGTGAACATGTAAGCATCTCAGCTCTGGCAAGGGTCTCCACACGGCTGCTCCAGCACCCAGGGCTGCATCGGGATAGATCCATGCGGCTTCTCCTTGGGGATGTCTTGGAGGAAGTCAATCTTGCAAGCTGAAGCTGGGAACTGCTAAGGCAGCTGCACCCGGTGCAACTATCACAAAACAAGAGACCCGAGAACTAGAAAGGCAAGGTTTCACCACCCATTTATCCCTCCGCCTTTCAACCAGCGCCACATGTGGTTATCGGCCAGGCTGGCACAATTCACTAACTCAGAAGGGAACCAAAAAGAGTGAGAGGAGGTCAGCCATCTTCCCTCTCAGGGTTCTTACAGACTTTGCAGGTTTCATTCAACTACTCCTGGGCTTCCTAGTCGACCAGTTTCCAAGATCGCAGCCTCCTGTTGTGTTCCTGGGTTCCGAAAGCCCATTGGAGACAGGAGTCCTTGTTCAGCCCAGTGGGTTTTCACAGAATTTGCAACTGAACCAGGAAGGTGTTGGCGGAGAGGAATGGGGGAAAGAGCAATGTTGCTAGGGGGAAAAAAAGATGAAAAACTGTGTCCAAGGGCATGGGAGATCAAGGGCGTCAAAAAGGAGATTTCTCGAGGAAATGTGGAGAGGGCTCTTATTTTGAGGTGTTAAGACTGGTAAACAGCGGCCCCTCCCCCGTTCTTCTTTTTTTCTCCGACAAGTGGTTAACGCCATTAAGTCTGGAGGTGTTACACTCAGAAACTCCAGAAAGACAGTGATAAGTGAGAGGTGAGGGAATGATAAGCATAAGTGAGGAAAGGGAAGTGGAAGGAAGTCCGAAGAGGCAGAAAGCTGGGGTATCGTCTGCGTGCAAGAGCTTTTCTGCTCAACTTTCCTTCCAGGAAAAGGAAATGTATCGCTGGCCTGCCCGGGAGTCCCTCAAAACCATGCTGGCTGTGGGCTGGACCGTGGAGAGGACCAAAGAGGGCGAAGCCTTAGTTCAACAGCGAGAAAATGAGAAACTTCGAAGCATGTCCCAGGCCAGCCAGGTACAGACAGTAGTCTCGCCCAGAGGCTCGGAGCCAGTAGAACCCACGAGCGAGCGTTTGGGAGGCCAACCCTGGGGCATCACAGACCGGCTGGCTAAGTGGAGCCCTGGGAGCCATTTGGGGACAGCATACATCTTTGACAGCTGACGATGGGGTGCTGGTAAGAGTAAGGAAACTGAGGGCTAGCCCAGTGATTCTGCCTGTCTTTCCCTAGGGCAATAGCTACAACCCTGCTCCCCTTGACCTCTCGAATGTGGTGCTTTCCAGAGAACTCCAGGTCAGTGTCCGTATCTCAGCGTGTCCGTCCAAACGGCCTCCCATCGGCTTTCTCAAAACCTTTAAGCACAGAACACATTGCTCTCCTCAGGGTTAGAGGGGAAAGGGGAAAAAGAAAATGACAGGGTGGGAAATATCGCCGATGAAATATCAAATCCGAAAAGGGGCCACAAGGGAAACTGCAGGCAATTCAGCCCATTCTCCAAAAGGGACGGGGCTTGATCCTTTCTCCCTGGAGGTCACAACAGGTGGTGATAGGATTAAAGGACCAGCAGAAAGGGACTATCTTACTCGCTGCCATCGAGTCCATGCAGACCCATGGTGACCCTAGTGGACGGGGCAGAACTGCCCCCTTGGCATTTTCGAGACTCCACAGGAGAAGCAGACAGCCTCCTCTTTCACCCACCAAGTAACTAGTGGGTTCGAACAACTGACTGTGCAGTGAGCAGCTCGATGGCATAGCCCGTTCTACCAGCAGGGCTCCTGAGATGACTGAATGGAAATCCCCAAACAAAAATTAATAATAGGACCAGGAGAAAACCTGAAACTTAACCCTTGGGTGGAGGCATCGGCTTGGTCCCCGGAAGCCCCATGAGCCACGAACATGGCCTACACATCCCACAGTGCCTTTGCTAAGATCTCCCATGCTGGTGCGGCCAGCCATGGTTGCGGGGCTAAGCTGCCTCCATAGGTGGTTCAGAGGTGGCGTTCCCCCCCTTCCTCAGTAGAGGCCTGGATTGGGTTCCCAGGGCGTGCACCTCAGGCGCAGCCCCCACTGTCAGTGAAAGCAAATCTGTTGCCACGATGCTGGACGGGTTTCAGCGGAGCTTCCAGGCTGAGAGGAGGAAGAAAGACCTGCCAAGCTGCCTGTGGGAGCCCTAGAGGTCGCAAGAGCCTGATCCCACGATGCCTGACTTCACCAGAACATGTGTGGGCCAAGTTCACCAGGGCAACTGCAACTAACACCAGCCAGCTGCCTCCTGCCTTTCCCATGCTGCCCCATCGATGGCCATCACCTGCCCTGACCGGGGGCAGTGGCCCCCCTTGGAGGCCAACAGACCCCCACGCCACTGGGCTCTGACAAACATTTCTTTCCAAAGTGCCCTCCTCACTGCAGGTCTCGCCGTTTGATGAGCCTGATCATGATTTTTTTTTCCCCCAGAAATCCCTGCCACCTCATGGGGTTATTCTTACAGTTAGAGGCTTCCAGGGGGGCTCTAGATTGCTCTTCTCTGTAGCCACTTGAGCCCCTACTCCTCCCTCCCTGTTTCGAGTTAAGAGAGGGGGATTAGTGACCAACCGATCCCTGCCTCTTTCCAGTCTCCGGATTCTGAACGCCCGTGACAGACTAAAGCCCTGCGACGTGGTCTAAAATGAAAAAGCACGTCTCTCCCGAATGCATCGAGCTGGCAGGATAATAAGTTATCGGGGAAGGACAGACTTAAAAATGGTTTTCTCTATGTATGGAAAGATAGAAAACGAATGAGGTGCGTAAGCACAGCTCATTACTGACGGGAGACACTTAGCAACTGCTAGTAGCATGTGGGGGTGCTTTGTTCCCAAGGCTGCCTGAAATAGCTTGGCCGGTAAAAGCCCACTTGTCTTGCCTGCGTTCTCTCTGACTCTGGCGCAGGGAATGGTGGAGGTCGTGGCTGAGAACTACCACAATACCTGGGCCAAGAAGAAGAAGCTGGAACTGGAGAGCAAAGGTGAGCTGGTCTCAGTCGCCCCCACTGGGGACAGGTGAGCCTCCCCAGAAGGGCAAAGGAAGCGCCCACCGTGTGGCCATCTCTTCCTCTCTCGCCTTCCTGAACTCAGGTGGCGGCAGTCACCCCCTGTTGGTGCCATATGACACCTTGACTGCCAAGGAAAAATTCAGGGACCGAGAGAAGGCGCAGGACCTGTTTAAATTCCTCCAGGTGAACGGCGTTGTGGTTTCCAGGTAAGTCATCTCCCACACAGTGTTGGAGGGGCAGGGGTGGGGGGATGTGGGGGTGTGGTCTCTCCTCCTCCATGGGGTTCATCAAATACCTGCAAACCAGGCCGAGGGAGGGGAAGTCTGATCTATGAGGAAACCCTCGCGTGGGAGCATGAAGCCCTGACCTCTGGAACTGCCAGGACTCAGAAGCTCACTGCCACCGGGTGTTTTTTTTTTAATCATTTTATTGGGTGCTCTTCCATATAGTATAACAATCCATGAATCAATTATATCGAGCAAACTTGTACATATGCTGCCAACATCATTTTCAAAATATTATCTTTCTGCCTGAACCCTAATGCCATTATCTTTAATATTGCCTACATCCCCCTGCTCAATTGTAAACTGTGAAGGCAGGGATTTTCTGTCTGCCTTACTGATTAATGAGTTCTGACCTCCTAGGACAGTGCCTGGTACCTTGTAGGCAGTTCATGCATTCTTATACATGGTCTCAAACTTACAAATGCCAGAATTATCTAGAACAGTGGTTCTCAACCTGTGGGTCGTGACCCCTTTGGGGGTCGAACGACCGTTTCATAGGGGTCACCCGATTCATAAGAGTAGCAACATTACAGTTATGAAGTAGCAACTAAATAATTTTTTGGTTGGGGGGATAACCACAACATGAGGAACTGTATGAAACGGTCACGGTATTAGGAAGGTTGAGAACCACTGCTCTAAATCAGTGTTTCCCTGCAGTTGCCTGCACTTTATCCTGGGTTTGGGCCTGTAGTACACACGTTTTTAATTGCCGGGGAGGGCACTGAGTAATTTCTTTTTTTCCCAGAAAAGGGGATGGTAGGCTAAACAAACCTTGGAACCTATCACTTGGATGAATGCTTTTAAGAAGCAGGAGGTCTTGGCCACCTGAGTCATACAGACAAGACCTGCTTCTCTCTGGTCAGGTTTCAGCGGAGGGCTGGCCTCATGGGCCCATGGTTGCTGAGGTAGAAGGAAGAGCGAGCTTGCAGTCCTAGTCTGAGCTGGCCCCTTCTCCCTGAAGGAAATGTCTCCTGATCCAGCCACTGTTTCTGCTCTCAGGGTCCCATAACATTTTTGCTACCGAATAGCAAAAGGTAAAATAAAACCTATACAGATGTTTCTATTGTAGTTCTTAGGAAGCAAAAAAACGGCAAAACCCATTGGCCGTATTGTTAGGCAGGACAGGTCAGACAGTGGGAGGCAGTCTCCAGGGGCGTGTTCACGGAAGACTCCTGTCGTCTAACCTTACCTGTAACACCCGCAGGAAAGCCTACTGTGGTTTGCAGATAAATAACTTATTCCCAGAAATGGAAAAGTCACCCTCACTCTAACTTGAAAGGGTGTGGGGGATAAGAAGAGAAAGATAATTGAATTCGGCCAATACAAGTACCCCATCCTATGGTCGGCACTTTCCTATACGGGCGAAGACTCAGGTGCCTGCCATCAAGAAGAACACCTTGTTTTCCCTGCCCCACCTCAGGCCTGCTCCCTCCTCAGTTTCCCTGCCACTCGTGACAAAGCCCCTTCTCCTATTGTTCAAACCTGAACTTGATTCTTCTCCTTTGTCTTACAACCCACAGCTAACCCATCAGAAATCCCTGCGGGTCCAACCCAGAATCTCACCGCGCTTCACCCCCTCTGTGCTCCCAGCATCGTGGCTGAACCATCCTGCTACCTGAGCCCCCTGCTAGTATCCTGGTCCCTCAATGTCTAGTTTAAACTTAGCAGCCACAGCAAGGCCACCATATTGAAAGTTATCCTTCATTCTTCTCCTCAAAGCTTCCAATAGCTTGCCATATCACTCAAAACAAAGGCAAAATACAAAGAGTGGTCCCGGGCACCCTACGTTATTTGTGCTACGGCCAACCCTCTGCCCTTCTGACCGCTTGCTCACCTCCACTTCGTCCCCACTGGCCTCTCTGTTACGTTTCTTCAGCTCGGCAGACACTCCTGCCGCAGAGCCTTGGTTCCACCTGATCGCTAGGCCAGAAAAGCTCTTTCCCAGATGTTCATATACCTCCCCCCACCCCCAGTTCCTTGAAGGCTTCCTTCCAACATCATCCTCCCAATGGGACCGGAGGGAACAATGCAGTCTGCTTGCCCCTGCCCCCAACACTCCCAGACCCTTCCCTCCCCCGTACTTTCCCTTCTTCCCCAACGTTATCAACAACTCATGCTTCATATTTGTTATCTATGGGGGGTGCCCGCTTACAGGTAGCATGTCTGTCCCACAAGGGTGGGGTTGATCCTTGGCTCAGTGTTTGTTAAATGACGGGTCAATAGCTTTCTGAAAATTCTACCTAGGAATTACTGTCACCCAGGTGTGGCCTGTTCCCCTCATGGCAGATTCCAAGAAGAAAATCAGGCAAATGATGGATCATCTCACTAAGTCAGACTAGCCATTAACGCAGTGGTTCTCAAGCTGTGGGTCAAATGACCCTTTCACAGGGGTCACCCGATTCATAACAGTAGCAAAATTACAGTAATGAAGTAGCAATGAAAATAATTTGATGGTTGGGGGTCACCACCACATGAGGAACTGTAGTAAAGGGTCGCAGCATTAGGAAGGTTGAGAACCACTGCACTGACGTTTGAAAGAGAAATTGGACAGGGGGGGTGGGGGGGGATTGATAATGGACCAAAGCCCCAGTCATCTCTGTTACTTCTTGGGCTTTCCCCGTTTCCAACGCAGGGGTGTGAAGGATATGGAGCTGGATGCTTCATCCATGGAAAAGAGGTTTGCCTATAAATTTTTGAAGAAAATCCTGAAATATGTTGATTCCGCTCAAGAGTTTATTGCCCACTTAGGTAAGTATCAATGTGATAGCCCGGTCTATAGGCTTATCTTTCCCTGTGACTTACATAACCATTTCATGCTGTAGCTGTTCATGATTCCTTTAGACATCCAACTGTGGAGGGAACCATGACTGAGTGCCACTGCCCACCCCACGTAACAAGTCCCTACTGCGTTTGAGCCTTTGGTTACTTTCCAACCGGCTCATCCTATTTTAACCTCCTCATTGTTTTGCTTTGTGGCGGTGGGTAGATGACTCCGCCTCTCTGAAGTTTCTTCCTCATTAATAAAACAGAAGCAGCTCAGAGAATTGACACAAGACAGAACTAGCCAGCAACATTGTCAAGTACATTGCCACACGTGATGGCTGTCCAATCAGCTGGCCTTTGATGTCCAGGGTTTTGTTTGTCTGGTTGGTTGGCTGGTTTTTAATGTTTTCTAAACTGCTGCAACTGCTTTTTAACTCTAACCCCCTCTGTAGAAGCCGTTGTCAGCAGCGGGAAAACGGAAAGGTCCCCTCATGACCAGGAGATCAAGTTCTTTGCCAAAGTGAGTGACTTGCTACACTTACTGTCTTTTCACAGTCTGTGGGGGGCAGGGTAACCTTCTCCAGCAAAGGAAGAAAAATAAATCGGTTAATGAGGAGAGACCCATCTCTATTTAAAGTTGCATCAACATAGAGCGGTTTATGAAGGCTGACTTCAGTTCGAGCCGGGGAGCTTGGTGCAATGTGAGAAGTGAAGCCAAGCGGTCTGAGCGCGGCCACACACACCCCTTTGTAGGGTTAATTCGGGAGCTTCTGTTTCCAGTCTGGCGAACGGAGAAGATACAGAGAAGTGAGAGGCAGGACATCTCAACAGGAAGCTGTCGATGGGATAGGTCTGTCGGATTCAAGGATGGGTGACTGTACCTACGCGCAAAAGCGTGTGCTCTTTAGGGGTTCCCGGGTAGCTGTCAGGAGGTGACAAGATGTTAAGATAGCCCTTAGGCACACATGTCCTGACACCTGCTCACACAGGAAATTTCTGATGCGGGTTGTGTGCCAGGGTGCCCTTCAAGGTCCCTACTGCCCACATCTGCGCCTGATCACAACGGAAAAGCTTTCTTAGCTGCAGGTCAGGAAGCATTCAGGAAGTAACTCAGAGAACTGAAGATGGAGTATGAAGTGACGCCAAGACGAAAGATGGAGGTGGGGCTCCTGCAGTAGTCCACAGTCTTCCACAAACCGGTGCCTCCAGATTTATGCTCTTATCCCTGCCCAAGAGCTCCCAAGAGACAGAGCTGTATTTCTCACTCGTGCCACAGTCCCAAGTGGGTGGCCATGGGCAGGAGGAGGTTGGCTCTGCTCCATGCCCTGTGGAAGGCCTGCTGGTCTGCTTCAGAAAGGCCCTAGTCCTGAGAAGCTCGTGGTGTGCGGTTTCACTCTGACACACCCACCAGCGCCACCGTGAGTTACAGTTGACAGCAATTGGCTGCAAGGGAAACAGGGTAGTGCATATTCTAGTCAACCAGCCCTGTGCTTAACGAACACGTGCAGATTTCCGTTGCTAAAAGGAAGGAGGAGGAGGGATGTGTTTGGGTACCAGTGAGCTGTCGCCACCCACACAGCCTTACTGAGAACGAAAGGATGTGTCAGGCCTGCAGCCGTCTCTCCACATCCCCTGAGAAGCAGGGTCCATATGCTTACGGCTAGTGGCACGAGGCCATGTCTCAGGTGTGCCTGCTGGAGGCCCAAGGTCAGGGGTCCCATAGGACTTGCCTGCGAGCGCTGATTCTGCATACACACTTCTTAGGGATCTGAACCCTCCCCTTCCATGTGTCCCCACGGGGCCAGCAAAAGAAAGAGAGATGGTAGAAACCTGGTCCCCGGGGCATGGCTTTCTTGAAGAGGCAGGACCAGTATTCAGAGGCTGTTCTCTCACTGAGAATGAGGTTTTTTTAAGTCATTTTATTAGGGGCTCTGACAGCTCTTATAACATTCCATACATCCATTATATCAAGCGTATCTGTACAGATGTTGCCATCATCATTTCCAGAACATTTTCTACTGGAGCCCTTGGTATAAGCTCCTCTTTTTTCTCCTTCCTCCCCACCTTACCACCGTCATGGATCCTTGATGAATTATATATTGTTATTATTATTTCGTATCTTACACTGTCCATTGTCTCCCTTCACCCACATTTCTGTTATTCATCCCCTTCAGGGGCGGGGCAGGGTGGGGTGGGGCCTATCTATCCAATCTGAGAATGAACTTTTTATGAGGAGCCTAAGGAAGGGATTTGGATTCGCTTCCTAGACGTTCATTCGTGGTGGATTTTCTAGGTCCTCCTCCCTCTGGTTGACCAGTACTTCACCAACCACTGCCTGTACTTCCTGTCATCGCCCCTGAAGCCCCTCAGCAGTGGTGGGTATGCATCGCATAAGGAGAAAGAGATGGTGGCCAGGTGAGTCCTCAAAATGAAGGAAAGGTCACGGTGCTAAAGGGCCTTCTTTCAGGCACCGGGCGTCCACCGACTACATGGTGAGTCTCAAGGAGCATGCTGATGAATGATTGCGAGGTTTGGGTTATCGTCCTGGTTGTGAACGAAATTATATTTATATTGATCTGTGTGTTGCTTTGGCCACTAAGAGAAGTTGGCACTCTTTGGGAGCATTGACAAGGGAAATCTCCATCCTGAAAGTCCAGGAAAAGGAAAGAAAACTGGGAAGCTGGGAGGAGAGAATGCACAACAGTGAGAGGAAACAGCTTGACACTGCTTCTTGTGATCGCGTGCCTACCTGGCTCTCCGAGTTGAAAAAAAAAGAAGAGTCAAATCTAACATCATTTTTCACATGGCTGATCTGAGACTTGAAATCCAGAGCAATGTAATTTCAATTCCTAAGTGGATTTTTTAAAGTGAATTAAGAGTCAGGGTCTGGCTCACTCGCTCCACTCAGTCTAACATGTAGATACCTCACCAGAGGCAAGAAGAGGGGTACTTCACGACTGGACTAAGAGTTGGATTCCATTCTGGCTCAGGTACTCTCTGTATTTTTGATGGAGGAGCAGTGAGGAATAGGTGCTCTCTCTCAATAGCAAAGAAATCTGAAAGCTCCATTGAGAGCAGTCTACCAGCTTTTCCCCTGGCATGAATTGAGGATGGGCAGCATCCATAATCCTGTGTAAGGGCCCAGCCATTAAATATCACCCTTAGGGGCAAGGGGTGGGGTGCAACTTGGTATTTACTCAACATCAGTTGAACAGGCTGAGTAGGCACTGAGCCTGGTTTTCATGTGCAAGCGGTTACTGCCCGTTGGTGTAGGTATTGTTGTGAAACATTGCGATGTTTTACATTCTAATATCTAGGTGTGCGTTAGGATCTCCATATCGCAGGTGCTCTCCCCCTGAGATGCTAGCAGTCCCACCCCCCACTAAGTGGGGCAAGAGTCAAGGCCCATCTCTCTCTCACCTCCTTGAGTGCCATGCCTTCTATGCCATCATCGCTTTATCTCATTTACAAAGAAGGGAGATAGAATAATGATGCAGAGATAGAATCAGCAACCAGTGAGTTCTTAAATGTATTCAGGATACATCATGTATTTCGAAGGAAATTAGCAAAATGAGGAACAAACAGATATTCGGATAACCCAACAGAGGGCAGGTGCGTCTGTTTCCTTCATCTGTTTTTCTTGGATTATTAATTCATGGAAATGTAACATTTGTTCAGCCAGGCATGGTTTCTCATGGCTGGAATGCCATCTAGAGTTGATCAGCTTTGCAAATCGCTTTCCAGCCCACCCGCGTGTTTGGAGCTCTCCCACAGCAGCAGTCCTGTTTGTCGTGACTGTTCCCATGATGCCAGAGCCCTCCTGTTTGCCTCCTTCCCCCCTGGCCTCCCCTCGTCTGTGTCTGCTGTGATTCTCCAGGGCTTCCCAGACTCTCACACCGGGGCTCCCTTTAACTGCACAGATAGGCGAGGATACTTGGGGATTCTGGGCTAAAGACATTGCATCACCTTAAAGCATAGGCTCTGTACGAGAAGGGTCCGGTGGCAATTTCAAGCCCTGGCTTCGGGGGTCTGAGAAAGCATTTCTGATCTGATCAGAATGAAATAAAGCCCAGGCATCTGCTTTAGTTTGAGACACACTGTTTTGCATTTATACAGAGCATGTGTCCACCTTGAAGATTTTTTTCACCCAACACAGCGGAGCTCACCTGCCTCTGATTCTGGACACCATACCAATTGTGTCAGTCTGGGTAAACTAGGGAAACAAATCCACAGAAACTCATATGTATCAGAGAGAGCTTTATATAAAGGATAAGGGTACATTAAGAAAGCATCCCAACCCAGTGCTGTCCAAACTCATAAGTCCAACATTAGCTCATATGTCCAAGAAGGATCTACAAAGTCCTCCTCCATCTCACAAAACACACACCATGATGCCGACTGCAGGAGGAAAGCATTATCAGTGAACATGTAAGCATCTCGGCGCTGGCAGGGGTCTCCACATGGCTGCTCCAGCAACCAGGGCTGCATCGGGGTAGGTCCATGTGGCTTCTCTTGCAGGAAGTGAGCCTTGCCAGCTGAAGCAGGGAACTGGCTAAGGCAGCTGCACCCTGGTTCAGCCATCAGAAAGCAAGAGACCCGAGAACTAGAAAGGGGAGGCTAAAGGAGCCACTTATCTCCCAGCCTTTCAATTCCTCCCACATGAGTTTATCGGCCAGGTTGACACAATAAACCTTAACTATCCCACCAATGATCATGAAGGTGGCCCAAGATCAGGCATCATTCATTCTGTCATACAGAAGAAGGTTGTTTGGCAGTCTCGTTTCAGATGAACAAGCTAATACAGCCCAGCTGATTCTAGGCAGTGACAGAATCCAGATGCATCCAGGCTGTTCCACCCCCTCACTCCATAAGTTTTCATCAACTACATGCCTCTAAGTCTTAGCGTCTAAGAAAAAGAGAAAAAATAAAACTATAAAGAGAGGGGATTTGAGGGGAAGAAGCAGTCCATCTGAAATTTCCCCATGGTCTTGTTCACTGCACCAGTCTGTTAACTCACTCTGAGTTCTCTCAGGCTCTGATTCCAACTCACTTCTAGCACAAAATCAAGCAACTATTGACAGGGCGCTGGGACTGCTTTTCCAGTAGTCAGCCTACAAAGAGCTCGCGAGTTCCTGGAAAACGCTTAAAGGTGTGCAAATTTCCACTCCACTGACACTTAAGCTATGCTTTCCATCTGACCTTCTAAAAGACATCGCCCCATCGAGGGGCAAGAGCCCCGACGAGGCCCAGGTTGGCCTTATCTCCGTCTCCCTTGGCAACCCCAGGCCCTGTGACTGGTGCTTTCTTCAGCTGTCCCTCTTTCTACTCCGCCAGGCCTGCTTCCTGAGTGGATCGCAAAGCCCGTTTTCAGCTGTGGTGGCGTTCTGATCATGTCAGTTCTGAGCCATTGCCTCCAAAAATATTAGGAACACAGGTCAAATGATGGGCAGAGTCACCCTGGAGAAGGTCCTTCTTGAGCACATTTGGAAACCCGTAGGGCTCCCTTCTAACCACAGAAAGCCTGCCCTGAACGGTGGGTGGAAAGTATAGGTATTTGTGGAGTACCTTGGAGACCTTGTAGATTCAGTTCCAGCCCACCTTGGTAAAACCTGGTTCTTTCTTTCGGTTTCCTGGTGCATATAACCATCATATTTATACTTAGGCTGTAGTCTATTAAGTATGTAGTAGATTAGGAAAGTGTTTGAAATGTCATGAGAATTGCCGAGAGGTGACACGGAGCCACGCAGTGGAAACATGCTGTTGCAACCTTGCAACCACGGCACCGATCGGCTTCTCTGACATGTACAAAGCACGCAGCGCTGCATCTGTGAAGCGCAATGACCGGAAGCGCAGTGGGGCTGTGTGTCTGTAAAACCACGAGGCACAGCTGGACCTACACGTCGTTTCCACGGTGGAGAATATGGGTGGAAGTATGGAAATGGAGGGTCAAAACACACAAAAGCCTGCCAGATGGGCTCTCCTAGTTTCCAAGGACACCGCCAGGCCAGCAGCCCAGTCAGGTTCATAGACCAATAGGAGATGCCAGGAAAAAAGAGGGGGCAAAACCCCCCCCTTGAAATGTGTTGTGCCTGTTTCACACAGTCTTCCCTGTGCTCGAATCCCTTGCATCCTTCCCACCCCGACTGTGGGCCCACCTCCCGCACCCAAACCCCACGACTCCCATGGAGGCTGCAAAGTGGTTTGCAAGTCATTGCAGCAGTGAAAAAAAGAAAAAAGCAGGCCTCCCTGCAGGATCCTCATCGATTCCCAAATGCCATCCGCAGGAACACGTCAGTACACAGCCTTCAGCCAGATCCTTGGAAAAGACGTATCCCATCAGGCTTGCCTTCTTAGAGCCTGGAGCTCCCCTGTAAAGTCCCTGTTCCGATTCTCTCATAAGAGAGCGTGACCCTGACAGTTTCCTGAGTGTGAGCTGAGAGGGGTCGTTGAGAGGGACACAGCACCTCTTGCTGAAGGGGTGTCAGGCTGTGGCCTTCTTTCACAGGGGCATGCTTGGGGAGGAGGGGGCCATGAGCCCTTGAGTCTCTTGTACTTTTCCAACGTGCCTTCTTTTCTGCTTCAGCCTCTTCTGCAAACTCGCTGCCCTTGTTAGACATAGGATTTCGCTCTTCGGTAAGTGAAAAATATTGCTAAGAGTTACACTCCTCCCGGTAATGATCTTGAACTTAAACATTGGCCTTTGCAACCCGAGTGCCGGAGCTAAGGGGTCACCCAAAATCTGCCCTAGGAAATTGGTCTGAAGTGTGCTCAATGGCCCCTCTCCCCCTCTGACAGCTCAGGTTTTCCACACCGCTGACTGTTGTAAGCTCTGTGTCTAAATCCACCACCAAGCAGAGGCTGCGACAGGCCAGAGAGAAAGGCAGGCCCCTGCCCACAGGCTTGGCACTTCGTGCGTGGGTGGTGAATCTCCTGGGCTGGGGTTTGGGCATAATGAGGAGGAGGTGGGAGCGTTTGGGTAGTCACCAGCGATGCTTCCATTCTAGGGAGTGATTCTGCCACCATGGTGAGCTGCCTGCACATCTTAGCCCAGACACTTGACACAAGGTACGTCTGTAACATTTTGGAGGTTTGGGGTTTTTTTCCCCTTCCGAAAGTTTTTCAAGACTGCCTCTCTGACCCCTTCATCTCACTTATTATTCCACCGAAGAGAAGATGTGGCGCTGCCCTGCAGGAGCTGCGAAGAGCAGGGTTGACAGCGAAAAGATGAATCTTCCCCTGGAAGTTAGCACTTTCTGTTTCTCAGTTCACACGCTGGAGAGCGGCTGTCAGCACACGTAGTGAATGCTAAAAGCTGCGTTCTTTGATCACTTCGTGCACTTCTTGTCTTCTCTGACTGAGAAGTTCCTCTTTCAGAAGATAAAATACCTAAGGTGACAAAGTACCACTTTGTATCTAATTCTCAACCCAAAAAGGAAGCGCTGCCTGATGGGTGAGAGACCATAAGTGTCCTGAGAGGGACACACGGCATCGCTCGGGATTCACAATGGCCAAGCAAGGCCATGTGGAAAGATCGATTTCAGAGAGCTCAGGCCCGGGGCCCAAGGTTCTAGGAGGAAAGGTGGCCAAGGAGGGAAGGAAAAAAAAAGTGTTTAATGCACAAATCCTGGTAATTTAACCATAAAGAGTCCAACGAAGTAGAGGCCGTGATCGGGAATGATGGGGAGCTTTTCTCTGACAGACCCCCTAAGAAATGCCCTTTCCAGCCGAGGGAAGCAAAGGCAGATCCCAAGACCCAGGGCTAAAAGGAGGTGCAAACCCGACGTATAACTAGAAGGTGCAGCTCCACTAGGCACTACAATCGTTTTACTTTGTTTGTTTTCGATTTAAAATGAAATGTTAAGGGTGAGTAAGGAGACTATTCAGGTTTTCAGGAGAAACTTGAGAGGTAGTAAGTGTGGAGGTAGTAAGACAGCCAAAAAGTTTGTAGGGTCAGACCAAGTCATCCCAGGGGACCACAAGCCCTTGGAATTGGGATGGAATCCATTAAAATGACAACGAAAACACGGGCCAATGTGTTTGATCTTTCCTGATAAAACCAACCACTAGAAAGACAGCGTGTGGCGTCTACTAGGAACAAGCCTCGTTGGCTCTATTTCCTTGTTTTTATAGCCTTGTTTGGTTGGATGATCATCAGAAAATAATAGTGTCTATAAAAAATCATCTGTCACTGACCCAAGAAATGTGGGAAAGTATGGTAAAGTGGTAGGCTTGGTTCCAAAGTGGTTTTTTTTTTCCCCTCAAAAATTGAGGTTTTTATTAAAAAATAGTTTTATTTGGTAGTTTTATTGATTCACATCTCATACAATTTAATAGTTGAATTATATTAAGGAGAGGGATCCGATCATCACCCCTAGCAATTTCAGAACGTTTTCTCCTTCCTCGTACTCAGTATAAAATGGTTTCTGATGGAAGATCTTAGATACCCCTAGCTCATCGTCATTCCAGTGCCCGTGTTTTTAATCAGACATGCCAATGCTTTAGAAGAGTTAGCTGCCCTGTCACTCTCTCATCTGAACCAGGGCATCCATCCCTACCGGCGAAAAGAAATCTCCACTTCAGTTGACTTCCTCCTGTGTTCCTGCTTTCTTTCTAAAAGGCTCACCATCATAAACCAGTCTGTGTTTCTAGCTATTCATGATACAGGTTGCTTATCTCATGGTGAGACACAAGAAAAGTTCACCTGCCCATTCCTTTAATTATGTATTTTCAGAAGAATGTACCAAACTGCAGCCGTATCGTATCCATGTTGTTCTGAATCGTTCTGTCTCTTGAGGGTCTGAGCAATAATTCCATCAATAATTCCTGAGCCAACTGTCCACTTGACAGCCCCTTGTAGGGCTGTGTGACCGGGGTTTTGTTCTGGAAGCTAACCACTCTGTCCATGCCTCCGTAATATTGTTGTCAGGTGATGGGAGGGGTGTGGGGATGTGTCCAGGCTGCACTGTAAGTCACCCGTTTCAAGAAGGGGGTTGGCCCAAGATTGGAGTGTGCCTCTGGTTTTGAACATGGCTTGCTTACAGGACAGTCATGAAGTCAGGCTCGGAGCTGGTGAAGGCGGGGTTCCGTGCATTCTTTGAACATGCTGCAGAAGACTTGGAGAAGACGTCAGCAAACCTGAAGCTTGGGAAGTTTACTCACTCCAGAACACAGATTAAGGGCGTTTCTCAGAACATTAACTACACCACGGTGGCTCTGCTGCCCATCCTGACGTCCATCTTTGAGCACGTCGCTCAGCATCAGTTTGGGGTGGATTTGCTCCGTGAGTCACATTGTTGGTTGTTGAGGATTTGTTTGTGTGTGGCCACAGTTGGGAAGTATGTGACTGCTCCGTGGGAGTGCAAAGTCAAAAGATCATTATTTTACATTTTCCCCGTAAGTTTAAAAAATTGAGTATGTCATCTTTTATCTGTCCCACTGTATTCTGGACCAGAATTTCCCACCTGGATAGTCTAGCCTCCTAGTGGTGGTATTCCTCCTTAATTTGGAAAGGTCATTTGAGTAATATAGCAGAAGGTATAGGTTACTCCTGGCATTGTTCCAGACACCAATTTTCCTATTAAAAAGCCCTCATTTAGTCACTGGAGACCAGAAGCAAAAGATAGATACTAACATTTTTCCAATCTGAACCTTCGGAAGAAAGCCAAAGTCATTTCTATTTTTATCTGTATTTACCACTATGTATGACCCACCCCCTCCGGGGACACCCCTCCCCACCCCACCCCCAGCTTCCCACTGCACCCAGATATTCAGCAGCGGCACCAGCATTCCAGCCATGATAACACACAGGCAGTGGTTGACTTCTTAAGCAGAACATGCCCTCCGTTAGGAAGCACAGGGAAATGGCAGTGTAATCACATTGCCTTTTGCCAAGCACCCGGCAGAAAGCTTGGGGATAAGTCCACATGAAGAATGTTGCTCTGTCTCCAGAGAAACCCAGGCCATTTTACATATTAGAGCTCTCGCTAGGGTGTAAGCCACGCATTCAAGTTTCAGGTTTTCTGCACCCTCCCTTTCAATGGAAGGGAATGTTGCAGGAGGAAAAACAGAAAATCTCATTCTGGAAGGACCCGTCGTCCAATTGCCCTCTTCCCTGGGAAGCCATCTGATCCCCACCAGAAGCTCCACAAAGGGATTTTGGTTTGGAATGGCTAGTCCTCAATGAAGGAGCCAGCGCATGGTAGTGGATGATGTGTTGGGCTGCTAACCCTAAGGTCTGCAGTTTGAAACCTCCAGCTGCTCCTCGGGAGAAAGACGAGGCTTTCTACTCCCGTAAAGACTGACAGCCTTGGAACCCACAGGGGCAGTTCTACTCTGTCACTGTGAGTCAGAATTGACCCGCTGGCAATGAGCGTGTGTGTGTGTCTATGTCAATGCCAGGGTGGGTTGGGGGTGTTGCTTCCTTTTGGGGAGCTTTGCAGTGTCCAGGAGGTGGAGCCGGGGTTGATGCCCTGTAGGTAATGAGTGCTCTTCTTTGTTTCAGTGGGCGATGTGCAGATTTCATGCTACCGCATCTTGTGCAGCCTCTACTCCCTTGGGACAGGAAAGAACATCTATGTTGAAAGGTAATTAGTGAACAAAAGAGGCTGGCGGGCTCGGGAGGTGGGGGGTGGGGGGCAGGGGGGGTGACTCAAGACCTCTTAGAATATTTAATGATACCGTTTCAATCCTGGCATATGGAAATGCTCACGTGGGACCTGGTTCCGAGTCTAGGTGATGGGCTGGTGGTGGCAGTATGTCGGGAGTATAATGAGGCGATGGAGATTGGTGACTTCTTTTTGGAGACTAGAGGGTGATCATTGGAGGCGCAGGCACAAGTCCTGTGCTAGCAACCAAACAAGGACACAATAAGGGTCTCTCTCTTCAGACTCTCAGCTTCCAGGGCTCCTGCAGTTACAGCCTGCCGATCCACTCCAGGGGCAGGAGGCAGCTGCTTTGGGGTTTATCGAGTTTCTCTGTGATACAACCCGGACTTTTCCCATGCTCGGCTGTCAGCTTAGCTGGGGTTTCAAATCAGCACACACTTGGGGAGCAGGAAGGCGGTTCAATAATCTTGGATCTGGACAAGCTGATTTGCAGAGGCGCCTGGCTCCCAGCTTTGCATTTCTAATCTTGCCGGTACCGACAGAGGCCTTTGGTGACCTGGTAAATGCCAGGTGTTGTGTTGTTCTGTTTCAATCCATGGGGAAGATGGAAGGATAAATACTGTATTAACCAAACTGTGGACTTAAGTCTTACCTCCCCCCACCTTTTTTTTTCTTCTTCTTTTGCCCTTTCAAGCAAGGAAACTAGTAGGAATTTGATTTGTGCGTCAAAATCACTTCACCTTAAAATCCTCTTGGTATCTGCCCTCCACGAACTCCCTGCCTTAGGTGCCTTCTCCAAACAAACCCTTGTTTCCCATCAACACTGACGTGTGTCAGGCCTTAGCATCCCGTTTCAATGGCAATTGCTTAATAAAGAGAAGGAAGCGAGGTGGATCCTGCAAAAACAGTACATACTGACTAAATTCATTTAAAATGGGACTTTAATTCCTTAACAATGGCTTAGCTTTTCTCCTTGTTTGGGCTAAAACAGGGTTGTTTTCTCGGAAAGAGGGAAGACAAAAGGCTTCTAACCATATTCTATATCCAGTCAACAGGAGAAGCAGTGAAATTTTTCCATTCAATCTCACTCGAGAGAAGGTCCCTTGAATTTGTTTCCCATTTGCATTTGGTGAATATTTTCTTTTCTCGGTAAATCTTTCTGATTTTCTGTTTACATACGTGTAGAGGCATCTAGGTACATCCCTGCGTGAGTCTATGTGTGCTTCTTTGTATTTTTTTAAATGCATTCTTTTCTTGGGGAATAAAAAGTCAAGGGAAGGTCAAATTGGAAATGTCAGACCAGAAAAAGACTGCTCCTCCTATGACTTCTTATCCTCTATTCACGTATTCATTCCAGACCCCATGGTCTGTCTGCTCTCCGTCACACTGTGAATATTGGTGCCTGTGTCCTTCGCTCCATGTTGAAGTCAAGACTGTCCCCATTGTTTCTCTGTTGGTTAATCTGGCAGCTATAGAACCGGAGATAGTACCTCCTAATGGTGTGTGTGTGTGTGTGTGTGTGTGTGTGTGTGTGTGTGTGTTTTAAAATACTGTGAAAGTAAGACATACGGTATGTTTTAAATTCAGTCATTAAGAAGTATAATAAGCAAATGTGAAGAAAGCTGATGGAGCCCGGCTATCAAAAGATATAGCATCTGGGGTCTTAAAAGCTTGAAGATAAACAAGTGGCCATCTAGCTCAGAAGCAACAAAGCCCACATGGAAGAAGCACACCAGCCTGTGTGATCACAAGGTGTCAACAGGATCAGATATCAGGCACCAAAGAACAAAAAATCATATCATTGTGAATGAGGGGAAGTGCAGATTGGGGGACCCAAAGCCCCCTGTAGGCAACTGGACATCCCCTTAAAGAAGGGTTGTGGGGAGGAGACAAACCAGCAGGGTGCAGTGTAGCAACGATGAAACATACAACTTTCCCCTAGTTCTTAAATGCTTCCTCCCCCCCACTATCATGATCCCAATTCTACCTTACAAATCCAGCTAGACCACAGGATGTACACTGGAACAGATAGGAACTGGAAACACAGGGAATCCTGGACAGATGATCCCTTCAGGACCAGTGCTGAGAGTGGCGATACCCAGAGGGTGGAGGAAGGGTGGGGTAGAAAGGGGGAACCGATCGCAAGGATCTACATATAACCTCCTTCCTGGGAGATGGACAACAGAAAGGTGGGTGAAGGGAGCCGTCAGACAGTATAAGATATGACAAAATAATAATTTATAAATTATCAAGGATTCATGAGGGAGGGGGGCGGGGCGGGAGGGGAAAAGAGAGCTGATACCAAGGGCTCCAGTAGAAAGTAAATGTTTTGAGAATGATGATGCAACAAATGTACAGATGTGCTTAACACAATGGACGGATGGTGATAAGAGTTGTACGACCCCCAATAAAATGATTTTTTTTTAAAAAAAGAAGTATATAAAATTAGAAGACCTTTTTCCTCTCCCTAGTCCACAGCCACATAGTCCAAAGAGTCACTCCTTTTATCCGATGTGCATCTTTCCAGATATTTTCCATCTGTGCGCTCTACAGATATGGTATCATAGTTTTAGCATGCATCAGCAACTTTGTCTTGTGCAAGGCATCTAAAGACGTAATGGATCTCTCAACTTCAATGTTTAAGTATATCATTTAGACCCTTCAGTTCCCTGCTTGAAAAGACCAGAAGTCAGTGCACTTATATTTCTAGCCACCTCCTGTTCTGTCTACCTTCTCATTTTTGCTATCTCTGTGTAATTCACCATAACATTGAAACTCTGTTGTGTAGCCAGTTTGCTTCGAGTTGCTTGCCATCATGTATATTTAAGGGATTCAGTGCTCAGCGTCCGTCCTTTCAGACCTTGACTTTGCTGTTGTTTAATTTTCATTATATCTCTCCGTCCATTGGATGCTAAATCACTGACAATGGGCATTTTGGATGTCAGGTACAGATCCAGGGATATGACACTGAGAGATGGACAAAGTCTGCTACCTGTAAAGTAGAAAGTTGCAAAAAATTGAAATAAAACTCAAACCTCTTCAATACAACATTATTTACTTCAGATCTATTGTGTGAAAAACATTGCACTAGGCAGTACGAACTGGCAGATGTAGCTTGGGGTGGGGATGGGGGGGACGCTTCCATAACCGCTAATAAATTCTTCAGCATAGATCTTTGATTGACAAGGACCTGTTTCTTACTCCAGACCCGCCACTAACATTCCCCCAACCCCCGAGGATTTTCCAGGGACCAAATTCCAAAAGCCAAAATTAGTGCCTTTGAGTCGGTGAACCTATGGGACAAGGTAGAATGGCCCCTGTGGGTTTTCAAGGGTGTAACTCTTTACAGGAGCAGGAAGCCTCCTCTTTCTCCTATGGAGCAGCTGCTGTTTTCAAACTGCTGACCTTGCAGTTTGCAGGCCGGTGAATAACCAGGACTCCTTGCTAGAGACCAGAGAAGCATCGTTGGTCAGTTGGCCTCCCTCTTGACCCAACCTGAATTTATTTTATGTGCAAGTATTTCTTGCTTATTCCATGGCAAAAAAAAATTATTCCATGGCTTTTTAAATATTGATGGTGGACATTTCTTTTTTACTCATTATTTGTAATTATATTAGTATTACTTTTATATTCTATTAGTATTATTTTATCCTTACCACTTTATTCTGCTTTTTTGTTTTTTATTGTTTCTGTTGGGTGTTCCAGGTTGTGAAGCACAGGAGGGGGCGCACAGAGACAATAGCTGATGCAGGGGTTTATAGGGGATGTGGGGGCAGGGTGGGAAGTAGAGAAGGGGAGGGGGAGCTGATTGTGATTATATAACTCGTCTTAAACATGATTTCTCCAGGGGGGAAAAACGTCCTAAAATTGATTGTGGTAATGACTATAGAATTCTTCTTATATGATTGAATTATTGAATTGTATGATATGTGGATTATGTGCCAATAAAACTGTGGGGAGGGGGGGAGGGGTAAAGAGTTCACTGGTTCAGTCTCTCTGACAGGCCAAGCCTAGAGGCAAGGTCATTCACACTGGTGTCACTCACAGCATTAATTGGAAGACTTCTGGGCTTTACTTTTCAAAGAACTTTTAACAGCTTGCCCTGGAGAGCTATAGTGTGTCTCTCCTGGCCCATCAGCTAATTAGCACCAGTGTGTGCCTGCTCTGGATCTTGTTGAGTGCTGGTTGTCAGTAATTAATATCAGAGAGGACAAGAGCGCATCCTTAAGTCAGAGGGCACCGGGACTGATGCACTGTCTTTCACCCCAAGGAGTGCTAGTCTATCTAACTAAAGTTACATCACTCTGTGTTCAGGACCTCACGAGTTTAATTTTGGTGACGGGAAGACAGAGAAGAATAGTGCGTCTACTTAGCAGCAAGGCCCTTCAGGATCAGTTGATTCATAGGCTCCTCTCTCTGTGCCGACTAAAATGTGGCCCGCGAGTTGCACTGTCTTAGCCTCTGTCATCCCTAATGACCAGCCAGACTGTTCATGGATGCCCTCCCTCTGTTGTTTACTTCCCTTTTCAGTTTCTCTCTTCCTCCCCTCCCCCCCTGCTAAAGACAAGAGGAGAGGAAGTAGGATTTGTGGACTCATTGGCCACTGTGGCTGGTAAAATGGTGGAATTATTAGCTGGAAGAAGAAAGAAAAAAGCTCCTTGCAGGATCCTCATATGTGGTGTGGCTCTCATTGCCCTGAGGGTCGTTGGGGAGATGGGTCATGCTGGAAGAAAGTAAAATGAAATGGATCTTCTCAAGCCCACCACTACCTTGAGTTTGGCCCAACCCGTAAGCAGTAGCCATCCAGTCAATTCCAACTCACTCCCGCCCCCGTGTAGCAGAGGAGAACTGATGACTCCTTGGGGAGTTCCATGGCTATTTCTCAGAAGTAGTTCACCAGGCCTTTCTTCTGCAAAACCTCTTGGTGAAATCAAACCTCCAAACTTTAGGTTAGTAGCTGAGTGCATTATCCATTTGAG